GTGCCACGCTAAGTGAACCAGAAAAACTCAACTACATGCTTAAAGCTTTACCCAGGGAGTACAGTTATATCGGTGACATTATTGACCTTGTACCCGAAACTGAGAGGACCGTAGAATATTTGAAAAGCAAAATCAAATTAAAAGCTATTGAAAATAAGAATTCATCGTCGTACGAGGACGAAAATGCCAAGTCAAACGTATTTACTGCTCAATCTACAAAAACAGAAAATAGAAGTTGTTACAATTGCGGGCAAATCGGTCATCTACAAGGAGATTGTAAGAAGGCAAACAACAACACTTCAAGAGGGAATTCCAATGTAACTCGAGGCAAAAGAGGTTCATGGCGCGGTTATAACCAAAGCAATCGTGGGTATTTCAACAGCTACAGAGGTAAATTCCGAGGAAGAGGTCGTGGACAAAGAAATTTGGGGAGAAACAACAACACGAGTGGCAACAACAATGCTGGTAACTGCAGTAATATTTTCGTCGCAGGTATGAACGAAGTAGATGGCAATGAGAATATAAAAAATACTGTAAATTTTAGGTGTAGTGAACGGAATATTACTTTCTTGCTTGACAGTGGATGTTCCAAACATATAGTAAATGATGATAAATATTTCTATGGATTTAAAAACTTGGAGAAATCCGTAATTGTAACCTTAGGCGATGGAACTCCAATGCAAGCAACGAAAGTAGGTAAAATAATGGCAAATTTTGATGTTTATGATCAAACAGAAACTATTACCATACATGATGTTTATTATGTTAAGGGTATGCGTGCAAATTTATTAAGCTATGGTAAGATAAATGAAAATAATAAGATTATTTCATAGAATGGTATATGTAAGATATTTTCCAATTCAACGCGAAAACTAATTGCATTTAAATATTCTTTGCCGAAAAAATTTAGTTGATGGATTACCAAATAAAATTGATAATGATTATGTGAAATGCTGTATTTGTATAGAAAATAAAATGCACGCCTTACCGTTCAAAAATTATAGAGTGAAAGCTAATGACATATTACAAATTATACATACAGATTTAAATGGTCCACATACAACTGTGGGAAATTGTGGTGAAAAATACTTTGTCACCTTTATTGATGAGTATAGTAAGTTAACTAAAGTCTATTGCATAAAATCAAAAGATTAGGTTTTTAGTTGCTTAGTAGAATATGTAAACGAGGTAGAAAATTTAAGTGGTAAAAAGATTAAAAAGATAAGGATGGATAATGGAAAAAGTATATGAATGAAAACATTCGTAACTTTGTCAAACAAAAGGGCATTCTGTTGGATCCCTGTCCACCTTATGTTCATCAACTCAATGGAACTGCAGAGCGTATGAATCGTACGCTTATGGATATGGCAAGGTGTCTCTTGGCAGAAGCCAATATAAATGTTAAATTCTGGCCTGAAATAATTAAAGCTGCTGCTTATATTAAAAATAGGACCCTAGCAAATACTTCGGAGTTAAAGACTCCATATGAGATATTTTTTAAGAGAAAACCCGATATAAGGAATTTACGCTTGTATGGTAGTAGGGTTTTGTTAAAATCCCTAAAGAAAAACTTAAATCAAAGTGAGATAAAAGAGCTGAACGTGGGGTGCTGCTGGGGTATGATAATGTTGGATACTGTGTATTAGTAAATAACAAGATAATAATTGCAAGAGATGTAGATATAGTTGAAAGCGATACCAGATACGTAGATTTCAAAGACGCTTCTTCAGAAGAGTCCTTTGAATAAACAGACGAAGAAACAGAAACAGAAAATGACACAAGCCTAGAATACCAATCGCCGAAGCAAGAAAAATCTCTTTCGCCTAAGTCCAGTACTCCAGTACAACAAGTTCGTAGATCCACTCGACCAAGTACAAGTCAATACAAGAAGTTTGTACCAAATGTGAAAATTGACAATAATTATGTTTGTGAAGATATATATGCAAACTACTGCAGCTGTGTAACTCCGGAATCAGTTGAAGACGCGCTAGCAAGTCCCGAAGCAAGTGATTGGAAGCAAGCTATGAGCAATGAAATAAAAAGTCTAAATCAAAATAAAACGTGGAAGTTGATAGGCCTGCCAACAAAAATATTATTGACGTAAAATGGATATTCAAACAGAAAAATGATGGAACAAAAATGGCACGCCTTGTAGCTCGTGGATTTCAACAAAATACGTACCTGTATTTAAAATGCAGACATTGAAAATTCTTTTAGCTTTTTGCTGTAAAAACGAAATCCACATACATCAGATGGATGTAGAAACTGCTTTTTAAATGGAACCATCAAAAGTGAAGCTTATGTCAAACAGCTCCCAGGTTATAACAATGGATGTACACAGGTGTATAAGTTGTATAAAGCTCTCTATGGTCTTAAAGAAAGCCCCAGACAGTGGTACGAATGCTTTCATACTTTTTTAGAAAATTTAAAATTTGAGAGAAATAATTATGATTACTGTCTATATTTTAAAAGCGTTAATGGATATACTATACATATATATACTTTTGTTTGTGGATGATCTTTTGATTTGCTGCAAAGATGAAAAGGTTATAGATGAATTAAAGTCAATTTTTTGTAATAAGTTTAAAATGAAAGACTTATGAAAAGTTAAAAATTACATAGGAATAAACATTGAACATAATGTAAAACAGAAGTGTATGAAATTAAACCAAAAGCCGTATATAGAGCCATTAGCCAAAAAATACCAAATTGAGAATTCAAAGACATTTAAACACCTATGGAAACAAATCTAAAATTGTATCCTGAAAATATTGATTATAACATAAAATACAGAAATATTATTGGAGCTCTTTTGTACATTAGCACAGGTACTAGACCTGATGTTTCATTTAGCGTAAACTACCTCAGCCGTTTTCAAAACTGTTATAATGGTACACATTTCAAATATGCTTTAAGAGTCCTAATATATTTATACTCAACAAGATTCCTAAGTTTAAATTATAGTTTTAGGCCAAATGTAAATGATATTTTAGATTGCTTCGTAGATTCTGATTGGGCAGGTGATGTGGTAGATAGAAAATCGACTGCTGGTTACATAATTAGAATGTATGGAAATGTCATATATTGGAAATCGCACAAGTAGGGATGCAACATCGATCTTTAAAACATCGATATTTGAAAACATCGATGTTTTCACAACAAACATCGATTTTAAAAAACATCGGTTATAAAAACGATACATCGATGTTTTACCAATGTTTAATTTCTCATCTACTACCCGATATAAAATGTAGCCGGAAATACTTTTTAAACTCGAAAGAACTTGATCCGCTACAAACCATAACTTTATACAAAACTTTGAAAAGTTCAACACATTTTTATCTTAATTTTGAACTTTTTTATCTGAATTTTTAGAAAAAGCCGCTAAAAAATCGCCTTGATTTTTTAACGAATTTATTTTTCTGCCGGGGTTTTTCACTTTTTACCATATAAAAGCAAATTTCTTGTAGGATTAAATGCGAAAGACCTTTTGCAAAAAAAATTAAAAAAGAAAAAATCGACACCAGTTGTTATAAATTGCATCTTTTATATGAAAAAAATGCAAAAGCCGCCAGAGAAAAATCATTAAAAATCAATAGGATTTTTAGCCGTTTAAAAGTTGCACCTGAATTACATATCCAATGTACCTGCAAAACCTGAATTTTTAAAATACTCAGACTAAAAAGTTCAAAATTTAGATGAAAATTTTTTGAATCTTCCTAAGTTCTTGTTACGAAATGAACCAGATTTTTTATAAAAATAAATAACAAACAAAAAATTAACTTGAAAAACGACAAATATTAAACAAAAATCAGCATCCACCCACATTTGATCGCCAGTGTATGCATGTACATCAACTTCCTTCAAGCAGCATATTTCAATACAAGTATATTTAATATAATTATGATGTATCTTAAATATATAAATCTCATTTATCTAAATATGAATAAACATTTTGAAATGGAGTTCAGAAAAGAAGCTTTGAAAATCGAGCCTCCAAAAGCCTGCTTTTATCCTGAATGATGGTTGCACCAGCTTCCCAGAACAAGCGCTCACTTACCACTTGTCGTTCGGAGTGAATGAACGAATTCGATGTTTTTCACTTTTCTAGTCGATGTATCGACGATGTATCGTCCAGCAAAACATTGATGTTAACATCGATATTTTTGGACGAAGGGATCGTTTGCAAAGTTCTGTATGTAAATCGTCCACTTATGCTGAATATATAGCTTTGTCAGAAGCAGTTACAGAAATTATTTGTATAAAAGAAATTCTAAGAACTTTTGAAATAAATATTGAAACCCCAATCAGAATCTTCGAAGATAACTCTGGCGCTGTCCAAATTGCCAAGAATGGTAGGTTAGGTTGGGTTAGGTTGGCCGAAGCCATTTATTTCTTTCTTTCTGGTCACTCGACGCTTGGCTTTCTCCACCGGAGGATGCAGTATGAACTGCCGACTAAAATAGCCATCGCATCGCTCCGGGTCTGACGAAGCATGGTCGCCGAAAGAAATTTCGACTCGAACGAAGCCGTGCTTCGTTGGATGTGACAGTGACCTCACGGTTGACCAAAGCTTACTCACACCAGAGGTGAAGTTACAGGTCTTCAGATGCTCTTCCCATTTCTTCCACTTATGTACGTTTACTAGTTGCCGAATCTCCGCGTTGAGGTCCCTGATACGGGGATCTCCGGGATCGGCCTGACGAAGGCTATCACGCCCATCGGCTAGAACAGCCGCTTCGGCAGGGAAATTTGGACGTGGGTCCGTGATACATCCTGCCGGTACGAAGCGAGCTGCAGTAGCGGTGACAGCCCTGCGGAACAACTGTGCAACTTCGTCTTTTGGACCGCAGCTATCAATATGTCATGCCTTCCCCTGAAGACGGCTATCTCCTCGATCTTACTCTGAAGCCAGTTACAGGTAAATTGAAGGAGCTTCATGTGGTTCGGGAGACGTGTGGTGATGCAGGGTGTGAGGGATGTGCGTGGTCGTGTCGCAGTTGGCTGTGTGCGCTGCTGAGGTGTTTGCCGCCCTGTGGTGGTGGAGGGAAGCGTCGCAGTTGAGGTCTGCGCAACACGGGTCCTCGAAGTTCCTCGTCCAATCTCGCGTCGTGAACGGCATTCACAGGGACGCAGTCTCGAGTTATGTAGACTCAAGACCTGTGAATGCCGTTCTAGGCACACAAACACCGGACATTGACGCGACGGACCTCCATCTGCCCAACTTCGCTCTGGCTACTGCAGCAGGCTAAACATCTACCTGAGTAGGTTAAATGCGGATGTGCCGAAGTGCCGTTAGTGGAACTCGACGACAACGACTGAGATAGCAACCGATCTGGGCGGGGTTGTTGCAGCCGCTACAACAACAACAACGAAAATCGATGTATGTTTGCAGGAAATATTAGTGGTGTTCATTTAAACATATAAATTTGCCTTTCCTATATAAGTATATTTTTATCCATTGCTTTATATAAACGAGTAAAAAAGAACCTTTGTTGCCCCTAATCGAGAAACTTGGGTCCGGTTTAGTTATTTGTACAATGATTTTCGGTTGTTGTGTCCAAACGCATAATCCGAATCCAAAAACTTTAACATCACATATAATCAAAGGATTAAAATTTTATTTAAAATAAATGCTTCAAATTTCCGAGCACTATCATATTAATAAATTCGGTTTGCACTATGCACTTTTTTTTGCGAATTTTGATGAGGGTTCTGTGCAAAAACACTTTGGATGGCGTAGCCGGTGTGATGTGCACAAGAAGTGTTTTATGCCTTTGACATGCGGAAGCCCTTCTTCTCCGGCAACACAGAAAGTAGAATTCTACTTAGTAAGGGTTATAATCCCTAAGCACGGCCGAAGTCAGAAGCAAGTGCAACAGGTGGTGGACCTAACAAAGTACATGTATTCAATGGTATGGAAGAAGCTGATATTGCATTAACTGGATTGAGAACCAGTTCTTCAAGCATAGGAGTAGTTCTGGCTTGTGGTTCAACAATTCAACCAGAAGCTGACATAGACGCGCCCATGGTTACTATGCCCGACAGCTCCGCGTATCTTTGTGAAATCATTCCCATAGCGCGCTCTTACTCCGCTGCTATAATTGCAAATGCAATAGAATCCACCGTTTTCTTCAAAATATGTAAAATCAAACAATTGTACTATAAATAAGCACTTCATGAGTGTTTTTTTAATTCCTTTCCACTTTGTTTTCCTTCATTCAGCTTTCTTCGAAAAACAACTGATAGCTGGCAATGCCGCACATGTTTCCGCAAGGATTGCAGCATGTGGATTTTTCGTTTTTCATAGCGTTGGTACGAATTACGAATTACGAAAATTCGGGTTCTAGAATAAGGTGGTTTATGTTCCTATTTCTTGCTAAGCACTATCAAAAAGGGTTTTATGTAATTTACATAAATGTGATATAAGTAAATAATAATCTCACACACATGTGTATGTAATATTGCATAACAAGCCAATTAATTCAATTATTTATTTCTTTTGTTTTGTTAACTACGTTAAATAAACTGTTTTTATGAATTAATACATTTGTTTGTAATTTTTTACGGATTCGGCATCGGCATCGGCCGATTCTTTCCCCATAAGTCGATTAATCGGCATCGGTACTTGAAAAAAACTGGATTCGGTCGGACTCTACTAAAGTGTGTTGCGTGTATATGTACGAAAGTCCAGCGCAAGTGTATTTTCCCATTTCGTTCAATAAGTACTCCTTGCGTTGTACTCTACTCCCAACACATTGTTTCTCTTTTTCCGTATACATACACTTCTTGGCGTTGAGAGAGTAAATACTTGACGTACTTGCTATTACTCCACCAAAGTAGGTACTCTACTTTCTCTCATCGCGTACGAGAGATATTTGCTGCTGCCAAAAGGGAGTAGCAAATCTACTCCCTGTATATTTGTAGTACTGTAAGTACAACAGGAGCTGACAGCCTGCCAGCTGAGCTATTCAAGTACGGCGGCGAGGAGTTGATAAGGTGCATGCATCAACTCTTGTGCAGAATATGGTCAGATGAACGCATGCCCGACGACTGGAATTTAAGTGTGCTCTGCCCAATCCACAAGAAAGGTGACCCCGCCATTCGCGCCAATATTTGTTGGTTAAGAAACGAGAAATAATACTTTCATAAAAATATAAGCACATACATAGATTTAAAAAGCTGCTTGAATACAAAAGTTTTTGAAAATGTCACATTAAACAACTGTCTAAATCTACGTTATTTTTTATAAATAAGGCCGTAAACATTTCCTTACATCGTCAATTTCCATATTCTATTTTTACTCTTTCAATTTCACTGACCAGCGCCGCAAACGATATCAACTAGTAGGGTAACAACCAGAATTGAAATTTAATACGCAAGTACTTACTTCTTCTTTTTTGGCGCTGTAACCGCCTAAGCGATTTTGGCCGAGTTCAGCAAAGCACGCCAGTCGTTTCTCCTCTGTGCCAACTGACGCCAAGTGAAGCCAAGTCCTTCTCCACCTGATCTTTCCATCGCAGTGGGGGCCTCCCTCTTCCTCTGCTACCACCAGCGGGTTCCGAGTTGAATACTTTCAGAGCTGGAGCGTCGGTG